AAAAAAAAAAAAAAGGAAAATATTTTCATTTCCAAAACTTAGCACATAGATCACATCTTTATAATTACATATGCATGCAAAAACATTACCTTAAAATAAATACATAACCAATTTGTATATTCATTTACCCTATTCACACTTAATTGGCAAACATATCCTGATTCTTAACTGACTAGGCTATCACATGAAAATCACTCACAGAACATACTTTCTATTCTTACCAGTTCATTAACCAGAATGACAGTGCAGTATCGCTTTTCCAGATAAAAAGGAAGAAAGTGAATATCTAAGCCTGCAGAACCTTTCCCTTCCAAGAATAGTTTTTCCATTGGACTGAAGAACTCATGCAGGAGGCTGGATTGGTCAGCTGTTAAAATAAGTTTAAATGTTTGTTTAGATACAACAAACAATGGTTGTTTAGATACACAGATATTGTAAAATAATGTAGCTGCCTGGGTTCAAACATAAGGGTATTGTATACAGCTTCCTGTAGTATTCAGCATTTAAGGCACACTAGTAATTAGTATTTATGGTTATACTTGTGAAAATGTGATGCAATATTGTATTTTGTATTATTTAAATACATTTTGCTAGCTACTTGTATTCTTATTCTGTAAACTGAAATAAAAATAGGGAAAATAGACAGTTCTCTCTGTCAAACTCTTTAAGGATGTACAGCCTATAAGCAAATTACTCTTCCTGCCAGAAAGAAGAGCACAGTTTACTGCTATACAAACAATCTTGCTCTCGGTGGCAGTGTGTCACGTTATAGTCTGAAACTCTCCAGAATGGACAAAAACCAATTACCAGCAAGCTTGCTCTCTTTGTGATGCTTTCACAAAGCCATTACGCTGACAAAGTGCTTTCTTCATAAGATACTAAGAATTTTAGGTCTGACTACTTTTTCGCTGCATGTTTTCATCTGCTGAGCATATTTTGATAATGCGGACTACTTTAGAACCAGACTTTTATTCAACTTTTGCAGGTTAACTTTCTAGGAAGTTCAACAGACTTAAGAACAGATGGAAAAATGTAGGCAACAGAGAAAATGAGTTAATAACACATAAGAAACCTATGCCAAACTCTGGCCAATTAAATAACAGTGATTCACCACCCAAAACCATGAAGAACCAAGCTGAAGAAAGGCATAACCAGTACCCACCTTTTTTCTCCCTAGTCCACATTCTATTCCAATTAATATAGAAATTTCCCAATATTTACAATTCAATCAGCAGTTAAGTTTTATATGAATTTGATGTTTCAAAAGCTTACATAAACAATGACCAAAAGAAACCCTCGAATACCACCAAGACCTAAGTCTCATTTTTACCCTTCCATCAAACAGTCTAACAGAGCCCTAACAGGAACTAATTTTTAACTAAATAAGGCACTAACTCCCAGACTTGTTCAAGCATTCCCCATTCAAAGTATGTCAAACTGGAGCAGAGTAAATTATTTTTGTGAGAGTCCTTTCTACCCACCTTCTCTCTGGATTCTGTGAAATTAAAACAATTCTGAAATAAGTAACATTTATTAACAAAATTAGATTTTTTTTTTTGACAGTTTTCTTCCTCTTTATTATTGTTGCTCCGAGACAAAAAAAAAAAAATCCTAATTCCCATTAGTCTCCAAATTAGGACTCTTGACCCTTAATAGCACATATTTTCTCAGGTCAGGGTGTAAAACATGTGGAACACTCTTATTTAGGCTTTGTTCACCAAGTTATAGAGAGAACGATGGGAAATTATTCCCAAAGAAAGAGTATATTCTGCAAGAAATGAAAACATAATTTTGTTTACAAAGATCTGAAATGTCATCAAAAATGTCTCTGTAGCTCCAATCTGACTGAGGCCATAAAAACCTTTGTAAGCTATTCACAGATTGGTACAACATATGTACCTATCTTGTTTAATTAGGGTACCTAGGTACAACAGATGTACCTATCTTGTTTAATTAGGGTACCTATTTTTATTTTTAAGAACTATGTATAAGTTCGTTGTTAATCACAAATCAGAATACAATATGAAATAATAAATATATCTAGAAGTGCTAGATTATGCAGATTACAAATCTGCTTTCCATATGACTTCCTAGAAACACAACAATATTGTCCAATAGGAAAAAATTAATTTCATAAGGTGACCATACAAATTCTTCTCAAATGGACTTTCAACACTGTCAGAAAAAGCTGTAGATTCTAGATTCATATGTTTTGACAGAACTGTTGACTGACATTTCATAGGAAATAAGAGCAAGACATGCACAATCCCTGTTGATGAGTATTTTCAAAAATAAATTAGGCAAACTGCAAAGGCTCTAAATCAAAATTCCATGAAGCTAACCCATGGGCCCTTAAAAAAAAAAAAAAAAAAGACTTAGTTTTCTTTTTCAGTGGTAAAGTCAGTAGACCTACAGTGCAACCTTAGAGATCATTTCACTAAATTAAACATATCAGAAGACAAACTATCCTATAAATAAGAGTTATTGAGCATACCCATAAATAATAATTACTTTAGATGTCAAAATCTTTCTCATGTAGATACTCGAATTTCTACTGTAGTGACACAAGAGATATTGTACAGAGGTACTTACAGCAATATAAGTTGTTTTCTTCATTTGGATCTTCAGGCAGTGCACCGTTTTTACAATTTAATGTGCTAATTTCAGAACTAAAAGGAAAAAAAAATAATGATAGCAATACACTAAAGCCGGACATTTCCATTAGTAATAGGTAGCCTCTTTTCCTTTTTTATGGATAAATGCCAAAAAAGCAAATGTTTTCAAGACCACCCACACACACATTTTGGAACCATCTACCTACCAATATGTTAAATACCACCTCTTCCACTTAAGTTAGTAGTCTGATATACAGCAGAGCCAGAACACACTCCCTTCAATTAACCTAATGTCTCTGCAGTACTCATATAAGCAAAATTCCATGTTAAAAAAAGCCCAAGCAAATATATTTTGCCAGTCTCCTGCAGTACTGCTGCCCAATAATGCCTTTTGGGGAAATCAGTCCTAATTCTTCTCTTTATCCTTTCAATATTCTATGGGGATAGGAAAAGAACTGTTTTCTGGTACATTGTGAAGTAGCAGGGCCTTGCATCCCTCTGATGCTTGTTACTTGTCTTCCTTTCAGTCTTTCCAATTGTTCCCCCAAAAATCACTCTGTAGAAATACATTTAAATATTTGCAAATGAAATTCAGTCAGATGCATTGTGCTTACCCTAGGACTTACATTCATAGACTTTGTGGACATGTCTTTAGATTGTTGCTTCTTCCAGAAACTCATCTGCAAAAGTAACAGTCTTTCCTTGCCCCTTATTAGAACGTTTAAGATGCTAGCCCCAGTTTTTTCTCTAGTTCTCTCTACCTTCTTTCCAGCTCAACAATCTCCTACTTTTAAAGAAGAGGTAAGCACCTCAAGTACCTTTTCGAGGTACCATCCTGAGAGCTAACAGAATCTATTAACTTTTATCTGTCTACTAAGGGGTCAAAATACCTCTATCATGACACTAACATTTAAAACCAATAAAAATAAGACATTTTGACATAGATTATTTTTTAATATTAACTGTAATTCCTAGTATATACTTGTATGTTACAGAATACTAGGTTATTATTTTTTTGTGATATACACTTTTAGACAAACATTTTATTATCATGACACTAACATTTTGACATAGATTATTTTTTTAATATTAGCTGTAATTCCTAGTATATACTTGTACGTTACAGAATATTAGGTTATTATTTTCTTGTGATATACACTTTTAGACAAACATTTTACATTTATTAGCTTAATTAGAGAACATAACAGCAGCTCATATATGTAAAAAAAAAAAAAAGGGAATTTATCTAGTAAATGAAAGTTCTAGCCTATCGCTTTAGAAAGTCTGTTTACGCCTCCAGTGCTTTGATGGAAGTCTTGGATTTACTACTGGTCATTATGCTACAGTCAGAATTCATGATTTAAACTCTACTCTAAATTTTAGCTCTGTTTCTAATACCATCTGGAAAGGAATTCTGTCCAGTGAAGGGGAACTTCTGTTTTTAACTGCTCAGCAATGGTAATTTGGGACCAAGGAACTATCTGGCCTGGAGGGCAAGAAGGTTGAACTGTCTGGAAGCAGAGATGCCCCAAAGAGGGAACAACTCCCTGTAAGGGAACAAAATTTCCCTGACTGAAAAGATAAGAAATGACACAGCTTCACCCTGCGTTCCTCAATCCATTGCTACAACTGCTCAAGAGCCACTTTTGGCAGACAGGGCTGGTGCTGGGGGATGAATTAAAGACCAGGTTAAGCTGCCTGATGCCGACCCTCACAGGATTGCGGCTGGTGCATATAAGAGCATACAAGGAATCGCCTTGTGTCACATTTTGTGAACTCCTTGTAGAACTGCTTATGGCAGCAGGACTCCGCCCAATGCATTTATTTATTAAATCTTTATATTTAAACAAATATGTGTCTTTAATTTGACTCAAGGGGTACAATAAAAATTCCCCAACACCAGTCCAACAAATGTCAAATAAAGCTTAAAAAAATCTTTTGTTGTTTCTTTGCTTAGGCCTGGAGAAATACTGGTAACACAACTCCTGTGTAGAGCTCCACTGATTTCAACAGAAGTCTGCATTTATGCAGGGAAACACTACCAAATCCTAAAGAAGGTTCAGGCCTTAATTGCTTTCATTTCCTGAAATACAACATTGTTGAAAAGTTCTCTTATTTCAGTTTTTCTAATTAAAATGTTACTGGTTTTATTTCTTTTGTTGACGTTGTTATTTATTATTCAGTATAACTGCAGATTTCTGGCCTCAGAAATATTAGTACTTGACCATCTAAATTTGAAAATTTTACCTGTGGGGAATATTTTTTTAAATATAACATATTGTGATTGTAATAAAATATTTCTCTTTTCCCTTCTTTGTCCACTTCATACATTGTATTTTTACAAGTAGAGGAAGAGCAAACTCTGGATCTTGGTTGGAAATGCACATGAAGTTCATAACTTGGAAGTTTGTTTTTCAATAGTAAAGGAAATGAGGGGCTTATTGCTTTATAAAGTCTTATATTTAACCCTTGCTAGACAGTAAAGTCAATAGAGCATTAATAAGAGATATTTTAACCTCATTTTTTAGATTTCATTTATACATATTCTTAAACGCAGGGACTTGTGTTACTGCATAAAACATTAACAGTTATGAAGACTACATTTTATAATCTGCAAGTCAAACATTTGAATAACTCCTATGTAGTGTAACATATCATTAGCTTTACAAGATGTCTCATAATTTCTATTTGGAATGTAAAATGGCAATGGCTTGGGTTTTGTACTAGTAGTAGCAGTACTTTCATAGTTTTGTACCACTCAACAGTAAAAATTTCTCTAAATAATTTAGAACAGTTTACCACTAAATGCAACTTTATAAGTCGAATATTTGAAATGAATACTTCTATTCTTCACGACACAGTATTTTTCTTTTGCATTTTGTTAGTCTCTACAGTACTTAAAAAATATCACTATGCACTGGGATTTCAAATGATGACGTACACACTGGGCCATAACATAGATTGATTTCACATCCTTCTCCCTGCTGTTCATGAGTATTTATGACTTACAAGGGACAGATACATGTTTTAATCTATAATTTATTATAAATACATAACAAACTCAAAGACAGCTTCCTGCATGTTTTCTCTATAGATTTTTAAATAAAAATCTGATTTTCTAAATTCAAGCTTAAAAATAACATGCAAGTTCATATTTATCTATTCATTTATAAAGTCAGACAGCCACATTTTAACAGTAAAAAAACCACATCACAACATATCTTATTATAAAACCAGGGTGACATTATATAATGTTACCTAACCAAGCATCGGGAGAGCAAGATGTTTAAGAAATTTAATAGGAAATCTACTTCTTTTGTTATTTAAGGTAAAATATGTCTTTTTTTTACAAATCAAATCAGTTAAGCTAAGTAAAACATGCATTTTACATGAACCCTGATAAATGTTAATACTGATCCAAATTCAGTCCAGTAAGTGTAAAATCAAGATTTAAAGACTCAAAAAAAATCCCATTGGAATCCCACAATTCTGTATACCAGGGATTCTTGAACTGCAACAAATAAATAGTACACAAATTATCTAAAAATTCTGAGCCATGATTTCTTCTTAGAGGAAACAGAGTACATTTAAGAAACAGAGTACATTTATTTAAGAAAAAGTGCAATATTTGCATATATCATGGCTAAAAATAGGGTGCCGATGTTGCCACACACTACCTGGTGTAAAAAATTTCTCTTACTTACTTACAGTGTTGATTTTTTTTAAATAGACTGAATTTTGCATCTTACATTTGCCGTTCTCAAAATCTTTATCTTTTTAATATTGGAGTAGAAATTAATTACCTAATATAGGTTTTCTCTAAAATAATTTTTAGCTTTTCTCCTCTTTCTCTTTTTTTTCTCTTCACGAGAATTATTATAGAAGAAAAAAACACTTGAAATTTACTTTTGTACACAAGCTTTACAATGTTTCTGCTCACGGAACAAATATAAACTGGGTCATAATTGTCCATGATTTTCTGTACAAAGCCTAATTTTACTCTTGGCCCTTTGAGTAAGTATTGGGAATTTATATAAGACAATGAGGAATTAGAGATGTAAAATTCCCATGTTAATATGTAGTTCATGATCTTGCTAGGAAGCATAAAATATCATAAGTGAAGCTTTTCAAGCAATTTCTACTAAAAATAATTCTCCTCTTCTTCCAGTTAATTTAGTTCACATGCAATGATGATTTCCACAAGGCTATAGCCCTGAAAAGAGGGGATGAGAAAGTCTGGGAAAAGCAAACCTTGTCCCTCCATACCTCTTTTACACCAAGGCTACAGGAATACTCTAAATTCACTAACAGCAGAGTTAATCATTTGCAGGGAACCTAATGCAATCAAGAATTTGTCTGAGAAAGGACTGAAGGGAATGAACCTTAACCTAAACACCTTAAGTCTGTTTGTAACAATACTGCTTTTCAAGGGTGTTTGAAAAGACATACTTCAAAAAACTTACAACAAAATATTTTCTTATTTTCATGTCCCCAAAGCAAATTGTGCTTCTTACCATCATATTTCCTTGATATTACTTTATAGCTTTCTCTGGCTTTCTTCACAAATAATTTCTACCAGTGTTGACAGGAGTTAAGACTGTGCAGTTACATTTATGGAACAAGAGTTTTGTTTAATTTACAACAAGCATAGAGCTCATAGATGCTGAAAACTACACTGTAATGTATCTCAAAAAAATACTACAAGTAGAATTTCAGCTCTGGACACAGGTTTAATATTACCCACACACAGAAGTTATTCTCCCCTAGCAGTAAAATTTGATGAACCAGCTTATAGCAAACAATTATTACAGCATTTGACAGCTATTGGGTCTCTCTTAAAATAAATAGTTAATCTTGCTAGGCTAAGAAAAAATCACAACCGTAAATAAATGGACTTGTAAAATTCTCAGAATACGTTACCCTGGAGATTTGTTTTAGTACCTATACTTAAAGGCCATTTTTCAGAAAGGAAAATGGTCTCTAAGGTATGCGAGTACAACACATTATTTATTCTGTTTTTACAAATAAGTATCTCACATGAAAATCCAAAAATA